ATATATATATATATATATTCAAAAAATTGAGAAATTTTACCAGTTGTTCCATAGTGTTAGATGATTGTTCCACGTTTGGGGTGGCGGCAAACGGTGGTTGGTGGCGGCAAACGGTGGTCGGTGGCGGCACACGGTGGTTGGTGGCGGCAAATGGTGGAGGATGGAGGTGGAAGGTGGTGGATGGCAGCGGAAGGTGGTGGATGGCGGTGATGGACGGTGGTAGTTGGCAGCAAAAGGTGGGGGCGGAAGGTGGTGGATGGCGGCGGAAGGTAGTGGATGGCGGCGATGGACGGTGGTAGTGGGCCGCGGAAGGTGATCGGTATCGTGAAACGGTGGTGGATGACAGTGGACGGTGAATGGTGGTCGTCAGTGATCGGTGATCGATGGATAACCGTGAAAGGAGGAAAAAGCTCGGTTTTCTAAAGGTGGGAGGTGGATGTCGATGGGGATGGTGATTATGGTCTCCCCGACTGCCTATTTATATAAACCGTTACGTAATAAGACAAAATACATCGTCAAATCGGCGTCAAATCATACACTAAAAGACGAAATAACGATCAAACTACGTAAATCAGATATAATATTTGATTTTTGTCCCCCAAATCAGATAAAAATAATATTTTTTGTGTCCACAATTATCATTGTTTTTTTTATAAACTAAAACCATGACATTTGGTCCTAAAAAGATTAAAAAAAAACAGTTTAAATATTGTCTCATATTTATTAAAAACACCCTTAATTGTCAAATCGATGTAGACACTAAAAGACGAAATAGCGGTCAAACTACGTAAATCATATGTAATATCTGATTTTTGTCCCCCAAATCAAATAAAAATAATTTTTTCGTGACCACAATTATCATGGTTTTATTTTATAAACTAAAACCATGACATTTGATCCTAAAAAGATAAAAAAAAAAAAGTTAAATATCGTCTTATATTTATTAAAAACACCCCTTAATCGATATAAAAAAATGGATAAAAAAAAGCATCACCCCCAGGGGTGATCGGGTGACGTGGATCACCCCAGAGGGTAGATCCCAATATCGAGACAAATAGTGTTGGTTTTCTAAAGTAGATACATGTGGGTCCCATCAAATTAATTTTTTAGTATTTTATTTGTACTTTTTGGTCAAAGAACAGGGGATCGCTCCGTGGGCGATCCGTGTGGGTATTTTCGCAATTTCGGTAAAAGTTTGCTATTTCGTTAATATATCAAGTATATTTTGGTCGTTTTGGTGAATAACCCTTATTTAGAATGTTGTACGTATGTAAATAGATTTTGAATTAACTTTCGATCTATTTCAACTTGGGGGTGTTTGGGATTTTCTTATTTAAAAGAATTTATGTTTTTCTGTAAAAATGTTTATCAACTTACGTGATGTCAAATCAGAATTTTATAAAAAATGTTTGGATTAGTTTATGACGGTACCAAAACGTAATAAGTTGATAAGTTCTTTTTTAGTGTTTGGCAAATTTTGTTTATATATATATAAAATGATCAAAAATGATATGAAAAGATTCTCATCCTCAGCCAAAAACAGGGACCAAGGGTTTGATCGCCGGCCAAATTAAAGTTTGCAAGTGGAGGTCGATTTCAATTTCGATTTTGATTGTGAATTTCGATTTTGATTTTGCAGGTGAAGGTCGATTTCACTGATCGCTTGAATTTGGAGAAGGTAGGTTCATAGTTAAAAAGATAAAATGGTTTCCAAAGCTAATAAGTTGAATCTGATAAGTTAGAAATGAGTAACTTATCAAAAACTTTTTATTATCAGTTTGGCACTGCTATAAACATTTTTTTCTCATCTAAACATTAAAAACTGTTTATTACCAGTACAACACTGGGATAAATAGTGTAAATAGACAATCTCAAACACCCCTTGCTCAGTTTAGCCAATAAAACCGTTTGGAGTTGATTACATTGTACTTCCCGTAGTTTGTTGAAAATTTTAGTTTTCATCCTTTAACTTTGTTTATTACAAATCTTTCCTTGTGGTTTATATATTTTTTCGGTTTTCATCCCTTCTACCAACATTTGTTATCTTCGTGTCGTTAAACGTCTCGTGTTCTCCATCAAGTTTGTCAAGATGGTACTAAAACAAGCTTGTGCCTTCCTTACCTACAGGCGGAGATAGCAAACGACCTCTCAAACAAGCTCGTCCTTGAAGAGATTAGAATAAAGTCGGCCACAAATGTCGAAGCCTAACGGATGAAACGATGCAATAAGCGATTGTGCATAACACATCGGTTTATTTTCAAAGGCTGTTATGTTAGAATATTTCTAATAGATTATCTATAATTTCTCTAAAAGGGATACAGAAAAGTAAAAATCTTCAAAAAGAAATTACACTTAACTTTAAAATTTCAATATTAATTATTATCAAAATATTTTACAAAAATATCTAGAATAGTAAATAAAAGTCATAAAATATTAAACTCAGCAAGAGTAATTTCAAATCTCAAATTTGCACCTTTTCTTATCTGGAATATAATACCCCAAAAAATAAACAAGTATAGAAACTATAAATGTAAACCACGATCAAATCTATGAAATCATTGGTTTACATATTTCTCTAAGAGGCCGTTTACCTAAATGCTTACCCAGTAAACGCTTATTGTTAGGAGTCAACAATATAATTGATTTTACCGGGTAAAATTGTAGTACATCAAAACATATTTATGCAACAATTTATCTGGTAAGCGCTTACCCGGGTAAGAGTCCTCACTCTCACTTACCGGGTAAGACTCTCCATCCTTATTATCGCTCTTACCAGGTAAGATTCGTGCCCCTTGCCATGTTCATTCGGTGAGGAAAATTGCTTAGTAAGTACTTACCGGGTAAGCGTTTAATAAACAGCCCCTCAGTCTCCAATTAATTTCTTCCACTATAGTTTTTTTAGAGAACCGCTAAAAATTTGAACCAAAGAAAAGAAAAAAGAAATAATCATCACAATTAAAGTAATGAGACACTAAACATCACTAGTGGAAACAAGAAAAAAAAAAAACAATTCTCTCTCTAAAACATTTGATTTTAAAGTTTGTTATCCAAATATGAGATCATTAGAATTAAAGTAACGAGACTCCCAATATTCCAATAAATTTTAAAAAAAAATCATATAAAGTAAATAAGACACTAAACATCATTAGTGGAATTGTGGAAACAAGAAAAAAAAATACCAATTCTCTCTCTAAAACATTTGATTTTAAAGTTTGTTATCCAAATATGAAGATTTTTCCTATCTGTTTCCTACTTTATTTTAACAAAAGTTTTAAAGAATCAGTTGAAGTCTTGGTGATGATGCAAAATGAGATGGTTCGACAAGTATGATGAGAGAGGGTAGAAGTCATCATTGGAGAACAAGGCTAAGGATCATGTGAGAAGCGCAATAAAATATCTGAACCCTGGATCACTTTTAATTTTATGCACACCCATGAATTATGCTTTAGAAGGGAATTGATCCGGTGCATCTCATTAGCGTTGACATTCAATTAAGATTGATCCAAGGGTAGATATCTCTTCTTACGTTTCCTATCATAATTCCTCTCCCCATCGGAACCCAACTCTGAAGAACAAATGGCGTTTCAAAAGGATTGTTTCAAGTGTCTATGAAGGGAAAATTTTACAAGGCAACCATCAAACCAGATATGTTGTATGGATCTTACTACTGAGGGTTGGGCAATAAAGAAGGTGCATGAGAGGAAGCTAACGGACCATGTCAGACACGACAATGAACAAGGTTTTCTGTTCGACTTGGAGTTGCATCTACCATGAAATAAGTTGAAAGAGGGAAGATTCCGCTTTTTTGGACATGTTCACAAAAGAAGGATGGCGTCACAACGGTCGAAGGGTGAGGAGGATGGGAAGGAGCGGCTAAGCCCGGAAATGGCGGCCTTGAACATCCAGAGAGCATGGCTTCTAATAGGAGTACCGGGGAACTTAGGACTAGAGGGTCGGTAGTGTAAGGCAGAGGGTAAAGGGTGAAGGTTAGAAAGCCAACAACTAGGTTATTTGACCTTTTTGCTTACTTGTTTTGTGTAGTTTCACATACTCTCTTCGATGATGTATTCATGAAAACAGTCTCTCTACTCCTTTGGGATAGAAGTAAGATCTTAGACCCTACATCTGAGTAACGACATTTGTTCGATTTAATAATTCATGTTTTGATTTCAGGATCTTTTGTTCATCTTAATATAGTCAATAATTCATGTTTTGATTTCAGGATCTTTTGTTCATCTTAATATAGTCTCCACCACACAAACTAGTTGGCTAATCATTTGTTTCCTCCCTAGCAGCCTAACACTAGAAGAAGACAAATAAATCTTGCCAGTCGAACATCCCTCAAACTGAACCAACTGAGTTTTTTTCGGAGTAATAATCCCAAAGCGCAAGCAAGCTGCTGCCTTGCTTGCTGTTCCAGTACAATGCTATAGAACTGAAAATTTCAGCCTTTGGGGAGACCCAGCCAATCTAGTTTAAGACATCCGCGATTGTGAAGTTTTGCTTGTTCAAGTTGCTTAAACTGGCTAAAGTAACCTTGGAGACATACATTCAAATCCCAAAATTATGTATTTAGGATCATAATATGGAAAGGTTCGTTTCAGCATACCCATTCCCTATGTGTATTGCCCAATAAACTATCAAGGGTGTGTCAACAGGAGTAGAACAAAAGTTTCGTTCCGGAAATCTGGTTTCTAAGGTCTTTAAAGATAAAAATGGAAGATTGTACTTGATTGTGAAAGTGGAAGTGGCAAGCAATCTTACTTGGGTCTTAAGAAATAAAGCATGTAGTGCCACTTCTCTCTTTAATTAAAGTATGAAGCACTATAAAAGTACTTCAAGCAGAATAAAGCTAGTACATATGCCATTTTATATCATCATGTATAGAACAAGAAGCAAAAAGAAACATTATGATTACATGCGTTTCACGAAATTGGATCAAGAAAGTGATGTGTTTTAAAAAGGAGCATAACATAAGAACAAAGATGCAGAACATATGCAAGATATCATGAATGGAACAAAAAGCACCCATCTCTACATTCCTCCCACAATACCAATTGTTTTGTCGTTTCTGTGTCTCTCTCACCCTCTTCCCATTTCTACACTCAGGAAGAAATGCAGTATCAATCACATTAAAAGATACAATGAAAATGTAAAAAAAAAAAAAGTAGAATGTAACACATGATTGAAGAACAAATACAGAGTAATCATGTATCAGTAACTAGTAGGATAGTAGTACCCGGCTCCATTAACTGGTGGATATCCATAAGGCATCACGGGTGGTTGCCCAGGAGCTATATATCCACCGTTGTTGATCTTGGTCAAACTACCTTGACCTTGCATCCCTTGGCTAGCATACTGTTGCCAGACCCCCTGTTCTTGCACAAGTAACTGTTGTTTCTTCTCCATATCTGCCATTTGGACGTAAGAAGGTGGAGGGACACTCAATGACGCTGCAAATGGGTCCCCCCCAACCGTTTGTACCGACCCATCAGGTGCAGGAAGTGCCAATACGGGTGTGGCAGTCTTCCCTGGCAAAGCCACACTGCTAGCACTACCACCAGTTAGCTGGGAGGTGCTAACATGTTGCCTCACCATTCCTTGGTCATACATTCCATTAAGAAGCAACGGGTCAAGTCCACCACCCATTGCTGCCTTCTGTTTCTCTAGATTACTGGCAGTTTCCACCAATGCAAGTTCCCAATCGGCTTTTCCTGGTTCTGCAGCTGGATTCTGCCAAGCAGAGGTTACCTCAGGCTCACCATTTGACCCAAATGCTTCCCACTTCCCGTTGGTATTGTTTGCTGCTGGACCTGCAAACAATGCCAATGCAAACCTATTTCCTTGATCATCTGCTGTCAGTGCCTCCTCTCTTAAATCCACTAAATCCCCGGCATGTCGTGGTTCAGCCTTGGGTGGCTCAGGCTCAGGAGGCGGTGGTGGAGTATACGTCTCTGGCGCTGGCAAAGCCTTTATATCATTCATATTAGGTGGTGGCTCTTCTTCTCTAACCTGTTCCTTGACCTCCGGCTTCTTCTCGGGGCTTTTCATAGCCTTGGCTCTATCTCTCACAAATTCCTCCAATGTCTCTAGTAATTTAGCAGTTATCCTCTGAACTTGGGGATACTCTGAAGATCTTGCAATGCCCATATCCTTGCACCAATTATAGAAACCTATAAGCTCATCAATCTGCTTGGCAGCACTAACATAAGCATCGAATGACTTCACACAATCCTGATGATCCATATCAAAGAACCGATCAAGCAAGATGGCGAGAACCTCGCATATATCAGCATAAAGCTTAAAGCTCTCTTGCACAACAGGGTACAGAGCAGCCAATACCATCCTGCTGTTCCTTGCTAGACCTGTGGGTCTGCATGACAAGATCCGATCCAACAACCTCTGTAAATGCCCCATCTTCCCAAAGATCCTATCGGGTTTCATATCCCTCAAAGGGGTCACATTTTTTTTCTCCTGAGAGGATCCAATAGATCCCTCTCTTACATCTCCAAAAGATCTTGACCTCCTCATACTTCCACCATACCCAGGCTCATTAGGAAATTCGTTGTTACCATAATCATTCCCATGATATGGTGGCGACCTCCACCGATCTTCCCTGAGCCTGTCAGGTACTTCCATACCACCGTTGTTTTCCTTCCTCTCATAGGCAATCAAATCCAGTTTCTGGTCTAGGTAAAAACCATAAGTCCTCACAAACGTAGAATGATCCCAAGAATTTGAATGGGCCTCATCACGAAAATCCGACATGTTAAGCAACCTCGTTCCCCTCCTAGTAGCATACATGATTTCCTGCTGAAAAACCGCATCGCCATCATTCAACAATCTGTGGATGAGAACCAAACACTTGAGTGCCACAATCCAATCACGAGTCTTGCTCAACCTTTTTGATACCGCATGAACGCAGGCACTGACATATCCACGTGAGTAAGATGTGAGCTGCAAGATCTCTCGGATGTACTTCTCACTGGCCGGATCATCATCGTGACTGGTGGCTTTCACTATGGCAACCTCTAACTCAGGAGCCATATTGCTAGCTACCTTAGCTATTCCAATACTAGTTTGATCCTTCACCGCTCCCATGGCCTTCCGCAAAGCCATAGTTCCGTTCCTTGTTCTGCTAAACCCTAAAAAAGCAAAATTACATAAAGCAGGTACATTTAAATCTCTGCATACCTAAGAAAACAAATCTCACAACTTTCATTAACATATCACAAACACTTGTGGATTTCCCAAGATCAAAATTAGCACCGACTCATAAAAGTCAAGAATCAAACAAAACAAATGCATATCAATGGTCGATAAATCAGATGTCATCGTTATTTTACATTTCGCAACTCCACAAACCATGAAAAAAATCATAAATACACCACATCAAACACATATCATCTTTTTTATGGATCCATCATTAATCAAATCAATTTTTTATGGATCCATCATTAATTGTTCTTCTACTTGGGAATAACCGAAATCAAATCCATATTAACAATCGACGCACAATCACATAAACAGTTCCATCACAAGTTTACCAAACAGCTGAATTCTTATTTTTTTTTTCCAATTAAGATACAGTTATAACGAAATTGACTAGGTTAATTTTGCAAAACCCCATACCGTAAAATATCAACAACAGACAATACTTGGAAAATCCGGTGGATGATTAGATCGGTTGACTTTATGGACAATCGAGTCAAAGTTTAGATCTGAAGTCGAAGAAGAAACATCTGGTGTCACGTCTTGTTTTCGTCTCGCCGGAGATCTCTCTCTCTCTCTCTCTCTCGAGCTGATTTTTCTGTAGAGAGAGAAGAATAGAAATGGACTTAGAATAAGAGATGAGGATGGTTGAATTTGAGCCGTTGGATCAGTGAGACCAAGGAAGGTTCTATGTGAGGAGCAAATCATTCCAGAACGTGGCTCTGTCTTTATTGTAAACCCTTCTATTTTCTTAATTTTTTATTTGAAGTAATTTATCTAAAATCCTGTAAAATACTGACATGATTAAATTACCGATAAGGAATTTTTGGAATTAAATGTTTTAAAATAAGATTTTATAAAATTTAAGAACCAAATTATTTATACTATATTATAAATAATTTGATAAAAAAATTTAAAAATTATTTTTTATGCATAAGATATTGTTTATTGATGTATATTACTTAAAATTTAAGATTACAAGTAAATTGTGCATAAATACAACTTATTAAAGTTTCATATTTGAATTTGTGTAACTAACTACAGATAAACATAATCAAATATTGGATAAACATCTCATTTTAAATATATAAAATCTAAAATATAATTAGGATAACTATTAGGTTCTAACAGAATACTTTAGTTATTATCTTTATAAAAAATTATATTATTAAACGTAAAATTAATTTATTTGTTACTAAACCTAAATTAAATTATAACTGAAAAATTAAATTAAGAAAATTACACCAAAACACAAGAACTTTCAAAAAAGTTAATTTGATACTGATATCGATATATATTTATTTTTTTTCAAAATTTTATCATATTTTCAAATTTTTATTTTATTCAAATATAAAAACATTATCGTTTTCTCTCAAAACCACATAAAACGGTATTATATCGACATAAAAATGGAATAAAACGAAATACTGAAATCAAGATGTATCTCGATGCATTGCACGAGTACCTTTCTAGTAGATTATAAAGAGAATTATATGTCATTTATTACTGTCGTGATTAAGTTTTTGATAAAATATTAACGTTTACAATTTAGAAATATTAGAAGGGTACTTGCACAATGTAGCGAGATACATCTCGATTTTAATGTTATTTTTTTTTGTTTCATTCGATATTACAATACAGTTTTATGTGGTTTTGAGAAAACGATAATATTTTTATTTTTGAACAAAATATAAATATGAAGATATATCATTAAAAAAATCATTTTTTATATTATTATCAAATTAACTATTTAAAATTTCAATTTTTTTATGTATTTCTTTAATTTATTTTTCGTTTAAAAAATATAATTTTATAAAGATAATAATTAAGTATTTTGTTAGAACTCAATAATTATCTTAAATATATTATAGATTTTATATTTAAAATCATGTTTATCATGTATTTGATTATGTTTAACTGCAGTTAGTTACAAGAATTCAAACATTAAGTTTTAATAAGATATCTTCATACACATTCTATTTGTAATCTTGAATTTTAAGTAATATACATCAATAAATAGTATTTTATGTATAAAAAATGTTTTTAAAAATTTATATCAAATGTTTTATAATATAGTATAAATAAATATATATTTTTTAATTTAATATTAAAATTTATCATCTTCATATAACTAAATAAAATTTTGTGTGGGGAAAGAGATAAGAGTGTACGGAGCATTGTACGAAGAAAACAAAATATATACTATATCACAAAGTATCTGATAAATATTTTTAAAAATTATTTTGTATATATAAAGTATTGTTTATTAATGTACATTACTTAAAATTCAATATTACAAGTAATTTTGCATAAATATAACTTATTAAAGCTCTATTCTTAAATTTGTGTAACTAGCTACAGATAAACATAATCGAGTAGTCAAAGACCTTCCAGCCTAGTGGTAAAGGCTTGGGCATGGCATAGTCATGAACCCGAGTTCGAGCCCTGGGAGGGGAGTGTTGGCGACATTTAAGTGGGGCCATGTTTAGCCTCCAAATTTGCCGGGGATTAGTCGGGCTTTGGCCCGGACNGACATTTAAGTGGGGCCATGTTTAGCCTCCAAATTTGCCGGGGATTAGTCGGGCTTTGGCCCGGACACCCTTACAAAAAAAAAAAAAAACATAATCGAATACGGGATAAACATCCAGTTTAAATATATAAAATCTAAAATATAATTAAGATTATCTATAACAGAATGATTAATTATCATCTTTATAAAAAAAAGTACATTGTTAAATCAAATATAAATTATCTTGTTATTAAATCTAAATTAAATTATAATAAAAAATTGAATTTAAAAAGTTACATTAAAAAACAAGAACTATTAAATAGTTAATTTAATAATAATATCAATTTATTTGTTTCAAATTTTTATGTTGTCTATAAATTTATATTTTATCCAAAAATAAAAATATTATTATTTTCTTAAATTCATATAAAATCATATTGTATCGATATAAACAAATAATAAAAACTAAACAATAAAATCTGAAATTTATTTTCCAGCGTTACACGCGTATTTTTTTTGTTTTATTCAATTACAATAAAGTAAAATGAATTAATTATTTAGTTTTGGGAGGAAATTTCAGTTTGAAATTTATCCATTGTTTTGTCTTTTGGCTTTCGTCTATTCCAAAGATTTTCGTGACCTTTGCAAAACCTCATTGTTTTGGTCGCTTCCATATTTATGTTTTTTCCTGGTTAAGTCGAGTTATATGAAAGAATATTTTTGTTAATCAATCTTGGCTATTGATTTTTATAATAAATGATTGTGATTAATTATAATAAAAAATTAATTTTTTAAATTTAAAGTTTTAAAAAACATATGTAAACAAAGGGAAAAAGAGTATTCAGGTAATTTTTTTTATGTAACTCTCATATCATTAATTAAGAGTTACAAAATCAAAAAATCTTATTATTTTTGGTAATATTGTAAGAATGATATGAACACATTTATATATGTATGAACAATTGTGTCAAATATGAACAAAAATTGACATTTATATGAACTTGGACTGCATAGCATTTATGAACACAATATGAACACAATAACAAAGTTAATATTTTAACCAAGATTATTGTGTTAAATTTGTTAACCAAGTTCAACCAGTGAAAATCCATCTTTTATCTAGGTTCATATGCATCTCATAATTTAATGACATGGGTAAATACGTAATTTTAGTTTGTATGTACTCCCATATCATTAGTTAGGAGTTACAAAATCAAAAAAAATCCCATAATTGTTGTTGATTTACTATTGATCTTGTTTTTCTATAATATTGATTTATCTATCTATAATGTTCTTGAGTTTGTGATTGTTAAAGCAGACCCGATAGTAAAGTTTTCGATATCGTTCAAGCTAATATGGATAAACTCATTGAAAAATAAAACGACAACAATGAGAAGGTTAAAATGGTTTACGATGACAATCGGACCTCGAGTTCCGGAAGTGAAGACAATAATGAAAGTGTTTGTATTGATAATGGATTAATATGTTATTGTATTCGTTTTAATCAAAATTATGTTGATTATGACGTTTTTGTGTTTTTTATAGTTCATATTGTGTTGATAGTTTTTTTCTTTAATTATTACTACAAGGTCAATTCATATGTTCCAATGGAATGAGTTCATCGTCAACTTAATTTGTTATGCAATCCAATTCTGATAACCATTCGGCTCCATCAGTTGCTTGTGATGCTTGACCTGCAATAGACTACAACTAGTGTTCATATATGTTCAGTTGTGTTCATATATGTTCTAGTAGCGACATGAATTAAGACATCTAATATTGAATTTATAATTTTTGTTAATTTATTATTGATCTTATTTTTTTATAATATTGATTTTTCTATCTATAATGTTTTTAAATTTGTGATTGGTAGAAGAGACCTAGTAGTAAAGTTTTTGGCATCGTTTAAGCTATTATGGATAAACCCATTGTTCATAATGAAGGAACTATTGTTCACAAGTGTTCATATTGTGTTCATATGTACACTAGCTGTATATCTCAATATTGGTTCGCTCCTGAATGTGTTCATAATGAAGGAATTATTGTTCATATTGTGTTCATATGTACACTAGCTGCATATCTCAACATTGGCTCGCTCTTGATTGTGTTCATGATGAAGGAACTATTGTTCACAAGTGTTCATATGTATACTAGTTGCATATCTCAACATTGGCTCGCTTATGAATGTATTCATAATGAAGGAACTATTGTTCATAAGCTGTTCATACCTTTTCTTTTCTTTCGTGTAGCAACTATTCTTATTATGCTCATATTGTGTTTATAAATGCTATGCAATCCAAGTGCATATATATGTCAATTTTTGTTCGTATTTGACACAATGATTCATATATATATGTGTGTGTGTGTGTGTGTGTGTTCATATGGTTCTTACATTAACAAAAATAATGAGATTTTTTATTTTGTAAGTCCCAATTAATGATATGAGAGTTACATAAAAAAGAAAATTACCTAAATACTTTTTTCCCCTTTGTTCACATATGTTTTTTGAAATTGTAAATTTAAAAAATTATTTTTTATCATGATTAATCTCAACCATTTATTGTAAGAATCAATGGCCAAGATTGGTTAACAAAGTTAACACAATAATCTTGGTTAACATTTGAACCAACCTTTATATATATTATATGTATATATATATATATATATACTAGGTTCGATCTCTTGTATTACACAGGGTAATTTAAAAAAATTAAATCATATCAGAAACTTATCTTACAGATATGAATGATCATCGAAAGTACGATGCTATTTCAGATTTGTATTCTTGAAATAACTCTGAAAAATGACTGTTCAGACTTGTATTTAGAAATGAATATACCAGTAATTAGTTAAAATGAAGTTAACCCTAGAATAAAATTAAATTTAGAAAATAAACTATATTAGTAAATTGAATTTAAACTTAGAAGTTAATTTAGAATAATTCTCCAGACTTGTACTCTTGAAATAATTCTGAAGTAAAACTCTATAGACTTCAGATCTCTATATAGGTAAGCCAGAAGCTCTGCATGCATTATGTAGAGGCTCTGCATGCATTATGCAAAGGCTCTGCATGGTGCCCCATCTGGAAAAGAAGACTTCAGAGTTCGGGTGAGCTAACTTTGAATAATGACTCTTCAGACTTGT